CCGAAGTGAATGATTATAGTCGCTCAGAGAGCAGTGCATTTCCGTTTGCCGCTCTGAGCACTTTTTTTATGGCATGTGCCACGAGCTGTTGCACTTTTATGCCAGATGCACTGGAAGTGGCCACGTTAGTTGAGAGTCCCATAGTGGCAAAGCATTTACTTGTCAGCCGGCACCTGAGATGGTGGTTCGGATGGCCACAGACTCATATATATTGGTTCCAATAAATAATTATTTACAAATGAAAACAATCGAATGAGAATATGCAAATAAAAATAATCTGAATTCTGGTAATCACAAAAAAATTTCTTTAAACTCATGGAATAAAAAATTATGAATTTGCTCCGAAAACCTTTATCAATCGACTATTAAAAGCCAATAATTAAAAAAAAAACTCCTATACCTAATTCTTCAAATCATCATTGCATATTTTTTCATTTTATTTTACTTAGTAGCTTCAACTATACGATTCTTACATATTTATTTATTTATTTATTTATTTGGAAACTCAACTGCATTAGGTTCTAAAATTTTCGGGCTTATTTGTTAATATAAAAGAACATAGAAGAATAAAAACAATAATTGAACGTTAAGTTTATGCCCAAAAAGAAAAAGAAATGCCCGGAAATGGAATATAAGACTACATATGAAAACTGACGCCAAATTGAAAACATGTTTATATATGTATTTAATTTTAATTATGCCTATCTATAAACTATTCTGTATTAACTATTATAAATTATTTAAAGAAATTAATTAATGAGGTATTTTGTTGTGCAGAGTTTCTTTTCGTTTATTTTTTCTATTTTTCTCAGTTCTTTTTTGAAACAATAGCTTTTTTTTGCTAGTAGAAGAAAATATCCTAAGATTGTTATAAATAACTGTGTTCATTAGTATATATATACATAAAAAATTGAAATACTTTGTAGAACGATTTGTAATTCCCTTCTAGTAAGACTGAATTCTGTCATGTAAGTAATATAAAAAAGTAACATAATTTCAATATTGTCAATGGAGAACATAGCTTTAATGAATAATCAACAATTTTGTTTAACAAGCATAAATTTGTTAAATAAATATCCCTTTTAAAATTATGTCATAAAATCATTTTCCTTACCACTTTAAAAAAAAAAACATTACTCATTAACAGCTTTACTGTTAAAATCATTAAAAAAAATATACATGGTCTTGAATATTTTCTGCAACTTACCTAAAAATTCGACAGAATTCCCAAAAGCAAAGCAATGGCACGTTGCAACAACAAAAGAATAAGAAACATAATTTAAGTGATTTGCGGCAAATAAAGGGCTTTCCACTGCTGCTCTTAAATAAACAAACTACGCTCTTAAATGAGCAATTCTGCTATAAAACTTCCAGTGTTCCTTAATGCCAAAACGTTTCGCCGAAGTTGCTATAAAACTTCCATGGCTCCTACACATCTGCGCCTGCTCCCGCTCCCGCTCTCGCTCTCAAACTCTCTCCGACACTCTCTCGCACCTACAACTCGCACACCAACACTTGTACGAGTATGCTCCACTTTTCAAAGCCACAAACTGCTGACAGCTGACGTTTCGAAATGTCATTTTTATGCGGCGCCAAACCAACTCACAACACACACACTCTAACAAACACACCAAAAACACTCACAAGCGCCACACGAACTCTCTCATGATTTACGAGCCAGAGACGCGTGGCTGGGCGAGGTGAGGAGAGGCCGGACAAGGGAAGGCAGAGCAAGGCAAGGAAATGCACCGACGATGATGTCGACGCCGGCAACGAGAACGAAGTGCGAAAGCCAGAAGGCAACTGCTGGGCACACGAACCTGCCCCAACAATGCCGGCCGGCCGGCATGGCACGCCATCGCCCAAGGTGGCTGAAGTGTAAGATGGCGCCCAAAATTAGCAACTCAAGTAAAGAGCCAAGGGCTTGTTAGGGTTGAGTGGCGAGCGGGGGATGGTCGAAAGGCCCACTTATGAGTCACTGATTGGATTTACTTTAAGTTACAATTTCTGTTTTTATTGTTAAATGTTTGCCCGCCAAAAAGTATGCAACGAAAAACACTGGGGAGCTGTAAAAAGCTAATACAGTAGACACTGGCCAGCACTATTGCTTTTAGTTTAAATATATGCACAAATTTTTAAATAAAAACTTAAGATTCATTCTTTTTAAGCATTCCATAGGTCATTAGGAGTAAAAAGTTCATGTAAATAAATAACAGATTTGTACTCATAAAGCCAAACAATTAAGTACTATATGTATCGGAATAATAGTAGTGCTAGTTCCAAAATTTAGGTCGATTAATGTACTTAAAATAATTTGTTTCATTTGGTATTTTTGAGGCTTTCTTATTTTTTAAGCTTTAAATTATAACTCAATATTAGTAAACTGTATTGACAGCATTATTTGTTGATATAATAAATAAAATAAACTATAGTATAGGTATATCTATCAGTTCCGATGTAACTTTAAAATAACCATTAAAAATTATATATGTATATTCTACCAATATTTTTTTAAATATTCCAAACTAGACGACCCCTTATAGATATATAAGGATATAGCATGAAAACATACATACATGTACAGTCTCTGCAATCTGTGCGGATGAAATATATGAGCGACTGATGAACAAATGAGCATAATTTAATGGGCTAATAATATATATATATTTATGTACATAAATAAGCTAAAGTTAAGCGTTTAAAAAATAATTTAAAAATAAGAAACTACATAATAGACGAAAATAGATCTGCTTTATGCGAGGGACAGATAATAAGCTTTCTTTTTTTTATTTATTATTATTTATTATTATTAACTTATCCTAGCGTTACAAGTAACAGATTACTTTTAAGTTATTACGCTAGTCATTACAAAGGTTAAAAATACCTCTTTCGGTACTATCTTATGCTATTTATGCTTTTTTCTAGGTTTTCTAATTCTTCTAGGTTTTCTGTCTTCTTCAAAATTGAAACCCCTTATCAATAAAAAGCTGAACATTTTTTCCTATAGACTAATGCAAATTAATTATTTCTAAAGCAACTTTTTAGACTGCAGACTTAAACGTACAAATTTCATTAACTATTTGTAAACTTCAAGAAGTCAAAAATTAAAAAAAAAAAAAAAACAACAGAGAAATATAAAGCATTTTCTTTAAAAAAAAAAATAGAATACTACATTTTCGTTAGACCAGGTTCGGAAAATAAAGGTAGATTGATTAAACTTGTAGAAATGCGTTATGCTTAACAATTAAAAGAGGAAACATTTTCTTATTTCACTTAAGTGGTATTTACTGTAATCAGCTTTTAAACAAAATCCGACAGAGCACGCTGCATTGCGTGCTCAACAAGACAGACAAGCCCACACGCACACTTACACACACAGATACACACACATACACACATGCACCCACACAGATTTATACCCGCCCATGCTCTCACACATTTGCCTAAAATCTTATATAGTTTTCATGTTCATCCGCTTACAATACGCGGGCATTGGCGACTGGTTGCCCCATGGGACGGGCTGCAATGTCCGTCGACCGATGTCCGCCGTCTGCCGTCTCCCGCCTGCCTATCGCACGGCCTGCATTTGAGTGCCCCACAAAAGCTTGAATAGCCGGGTGCAGGTGCAGGTGCTACGATGGCAACAGCAGCTAAATCAATTCGTGCAACATGGCGAAATCTTTGGATACATGAAATTTGGTTAGTGTTGTGCTTTGGCGCCCCGCGGCTGCTTTGTTTGTGGCCAGCGGGTAGAAGAGGAGTGGTGGGGTGGAATCGGCTACTGGCGCATTGATTACAACTCACAATTTTTAGGCATGTTGCACGCGCAAATTCCACAGGGTATAGAGACTAAATACATGTACTGCTTAGTACAAGTCGACAAATAAGTACTATAGTTGTTTTTGCTCAATAAAATGACTGCATCAAAGTACCAAAAGGAGTGTGAAGCCTTTTTTAGTGCTTGTATAGTTAAAAATTATGTTGAAACAACAGATTATAAAAAATCTATTGCAAAAACAACACTATTTTTCATTAAAGCACACTTTGATATATTGTCAAGTTTCTATCTTTCTCCCATTTTTCTTTAATTTGTTAAGGTTTCTAAAATCATTAGCATTATAAAATGCGATTGCTTTAATAATAATTATCTAAAAATGACAGATATGGTAAAAAATCATCAGATTTTCTGATCGTCAGATATTTACACGTCAGAAAACAACACTTCAAATAGCCAGCAATTACTTGACTTAGCTAATTAACATTTTTTCGGATATATTATTTTACGAGTACAGTGCAAGCTTGACCTTCAAGATAATAATTGTGGATTGTTATCGTTTTCCAGATTTGCCACAAAATCGCCTAAAAATAATTTTGGCTTCGAGCAGTCTGTCTATGGTGTGCGACAAACATTTTTATTGTCAAACTAAAGTGATACTGCATTGTCCTTACATATCTGTTAGCCCCGAAGTGTCACATATCATATTATTTGATCTATCTTTATTGTCTCATGTATTTTTTATGTTTTGACAGTTTTTACTTGAAATAGCATTCGTAAAGACGAGGCACCGAAGTGATTGCTTGTCTCTTGTCTCTGTAGTAATTTAAAAAAAAATTGAATAAATGATCCATTATTTAATTTGTAGTTCTCGAGATCTACATAGTTCGTTTTAGGAAGTCTGTTCATATCTCAAATACCTTTGTTCACACTGGACTTCAAAGGGCTTCTTGTTTTTTACCTCCGATATGTCAATCCTAATATTACTATTCTACTAGTAGGGAGTAAATAGTTACGTATTAGATTAATAAGTTAATTAATGCTATACGGACATTATCCTCCACTTGCTGATATGGTTTCGCTTGAGCACTTGAGGCCTAAAGGCACTTTACTTATTTTTTAAACCAAATCATTCAGCTTAAAACTCGAGAATATAAATAATAACAATTAGCACAACTTTTTACCTAGTGTATTATAGTACATAACCAAATAAATCACTTATAAATACTTCAAACTGGTGAGTGATTTCCTGCCTTTTATTAAAAACATAAGTATTTTTGAACATCCTACATGCATTGAAAGCATAATCCTAACCTAGTTTAAAACACTTTCAATATGAGTTTTGTACGCAATTGAAAGTGCTTTAAGCTAAACTAATATTACAATTTCAATCTTAGTCTTACGACATCTTACTTCAACGTATCTCTGGAATTGGAAACATCGGGTGCCTTTTCAACAATAAGTGGTCTCTCCATCAAAAAATTCGCTTGTGATTTCGTTTCACGGTTTCCATAAATGGGGCCTATATCCGATTGGCTGCGCTGAAGTCCTGTAAGGTTATCTTCTTTTATTCGTTTCTTGCACACACAACACTGGCACTTAAGATCATGAAGGAGCGCGTTATCAGGGTTTGGTTTACAGGTACCCGGGCATCCACAAGCATTCGGTTGGCCAGGCTGGTCAAGTGGTTGACGCTCTGCATTAGGCACCCTATTGAGGCCAGTCTTTGAAGCCTGACTATATGTTCGACGATCGCTGTCCCTCGGCTGCAGAGAATTGGCAATTAGACGGCCATGGGGTACGTAACTACGACCATTCGAAACAGGGCCACGACGTGCACTACAAGGACACTGTTTAGCATTCGTTGTGGAATTTTGGAAATTTCCGCGCGAATAGTTATTCACTTGAGCAAAGCGAGCGTGGCTGCTAGTTCGAGCGCCATGAGAATGGCTACCAGCTCGGGCGATATGAGAGCGGCTGCTTGCTCGACTGCCATGAGAATGGCTGCCAACTCCAGTGCCATGAGAATGGCTGCCAGCTGGGGCGATATGGGAATGGCTGCTTGCTCGAGTGGCGCGAGAATGGGCACTAGGTGTTCGTAGTGGACTGTAGTAGCCGGAGGAAGACTTGGACTGTTTGCTGTTCTTGTCATTCGAATTCCGAGTAGCATTTTGTTGAAGAAAGGAATTAAATGGTCTGGGAAAGCCACTAATTCCAAATAGATTTGCTGGCTTTGAGGCATTAGAAGCTTTTGAATTATGTGAACTCTTCGAGTTACGAACTGTTGAATAAGATGTGGTAGGATAGCCCCGCACTGTGGAGTGAGATGATTTTGGAATGGAGGAGACAGATGGTTTCGCTTTAGTACAAATGCAGTCTCGGCCGCAAAGCTTGTCTGTTTTGAAACCTCCGCCAACACCACGTGACTTTGACTTGGCTCTGGACTTAGACTTGGACTTCTTTTTCTTATGCTTGTCCGGAATGTCTTTTTGCCAGGTCTCGGGGAGATAACGCTTAACTGGCTCTTTGTATGGACGGGCTTCTGTGAGATCTTGCTCCATGCGCTCCAATCTCTTCTGACACGTACAGCACATACAGCCCTTGCCGCTGGGTGGCGTCATATTTCCATACTCGTCAATTGTAACAGTCGTATCGGCTTCATCTCCTCCATCCTGTCCCTCCTTTCGAATGCTTATATCGTTATATTTGCCGCGACGCGTCAAACCGTAGCAGCCGTCACCCTCATCCGTCTCAAAGCAACCCTGCGATTCTGTGGCCAGGTCCTTTAGTTTTCCCCGTAGCTGACTGATGATCTTGCGCTGCTTGAGACGTACATTCCCCATACTCTTAGCGTCACACTCTAGGCTGGGCATCTCTTCCAGACCCATTCTGCCATCGAGGCCCTCGCATGTTATGCGTTCCAGTTCCCTTAGAAGATTACAACGCTCGGAGCCCGTAGAATTCGTTATCTGCCGCAGACGAAACTGTATTCGCGAATAGTGCGAGGTCATTGTGAAGAGGGCATCCTGTAAACTCTCAATGTCCTCCTCCAGTTTGGTCTCGTATGTCGTCAGCTTGCGACAACGCAAGTTGCCTTCTTCGTCTAGTTCGCAATACCGTCGACCCTCTTCTAAATGATGGTGATGCTTATGTGCGGAACCGGTCTTTGCCACGGTCCACGATACGGTTTCTTTGAATTCATATTCATGGTCGGAGCTGTCTTTACGGCCGCAAGTGGGGAACTTCATGTTACCACGATTTCTTATTGGAAATCAGAGTCAGTGTTAGGGTCGTTTCTGTTTAGTTCCTTGTTTATTCAAATTGTATACTTGCCGTTCGAGTAGTGTGAATTAAATGAGAATACAATTTTGAGAAATTTCGCCTAAATTTGAAAAGGTTGTTTTGTGAGACCAAGCTTAGTGAAATATACAAATAAATGGGATTTTGAAGAACTGGTTTCCAGAAGCTGCATAATATACATACACATAAAATGAGGGAAAGTCAATTGTAATTGGAAGGAAGAGCAAACGTTTACCTTTAAAGTAACAAATTTGGCTTAGTCCATAATTTCCTTTTCTGAGCTCTTTTTAATGTTCATCTTATTGCCTAAAACAAATGCTCACACATAATGTTTGACTTAAAAGTCGTAAGAATAACTAAAACGATTTGGAAAATACAAAAAAATTTTGATATATACGATATACTGTGAAAGCTTCACGGTGGCTAGGGAATGGAAGGACTCTGAATAACCTCTTTAAAAATTTACAAAATCATTTGTAAAAAGGACAAATTATAGTTGACAGTAGGCTTAAAAATTGTATGTAGTTATTCCACTTACAAGTCTTTCAGTCAAATCCCAAATAAAATAAAATATTCCGCACATTAAACTGAAATTCGTCTTCTGACGCGATTTATACATATTTCTTCAATGGCATTTTCTTATTGTTTACGTTTAGTGTATTCCAAAGTCGAACTGGAATCTGGAGTCTGTTAATATAGAAGAACATTCAATCATAACTTTTTGTTTTTTTTTGTTTTTTCCCAAAAATAAAATTTATTATATTTTCTAAAAATAATATTTTAAATATTGTTTCTTGACAGCTCTTATGTTTGCACTAATTTCATCTCCAGTTTTGTAAAATTAAGAATTTAACAATCAGTTTCGTTTTTTGTTGTATATGTTTAGTGTATTCCAGAGTCGAACTGGTTAATATAAAAGGGCATTCAATCATAACTTTTTGTTTTCACAAATTCCCAAAAATAAAATTTATTATAATTTCTAAAAATAATATTTAAAATATTGTTTCTTGGCAACTCTTATGTTAAATTAAATTTGACGACAATTTTTTCGGGTTTTGTAAAATAAAGAACTCAACAATCAGTTTTGTTTTTGTTGCTTACGTATATTGTATTCCAGAGTCGAACTGGTTAGTATAAAAGAATATTCAATCATAACTTTTTGTTTTCATAAATTCTTTTATTTTTCTTTATTATGTTTTCCAAAAATATTCTTTAAATTGTTATTTCGCATATTTACACTAATTTTGTCTCCAGTACAATATTTTTATGCAAATTTTACGGTTACCATTTCGAGTTTTGTTAATTTAAGAACTCAACAATCTATTTCGTTCACTTCAAATCTTTCAATTAATATTCAATTAGGCTGGGACTCAGTATCGGCGTTGGCAGAGTAATCACTCTTGTGCGATACCTATCAATGACAAGGGAATGTTTAAAATTTTACACAATTTTGACCATCCCATTAAATACGCCAAATGATTAACATACACACACTCGTATCTCCCAAATCTCTATATCATCATTTTTCACATGGACCATGACGAACGCACACATCTGGCCAGATGTCACGCAGAAGCTGTCGCCTCAATGAGATGGTTGTAAAAACCCTTAACAAGACAATAACGAAAAAACAACGAAACCATTAGTTGAAATGCGTCATAAAAACCAGTCGAGAGACAACAACAACAACAACAACACCAACAACAAATAGACAAAAGATAAGCCGGCAAGAACTTGAACGCATGCGCCAGTAAGCGGGCAGGGAACACAGGACGCGGATGAGGGTAACCAGATATGGGCATGCCAAAAACGATATAGACCAACTTAAGCACACACACAGACACACACACATGCAGAGAGAGCCACAATAGCATTTACTCGTACACTCGGGGCAAGCAAGGCAGACAAATCGACGCACAGGCGCACTCATGAATGAACGAGCGCGCGGGCGCAGAGGGGCCTGAGAACAATATGGAACAGCGAGAGGCTGTAAGGTAACGACGCGAAGCGGCGTCAAGACAATAAACAACCCTAACACACACACTCACACACACGCATACACAGACAGACACACAAGCCAACCTATACTGAGCCTGGTCGACTACTACCTAGGGCTGCAAATATTTGCGTCGCGCATGCGCGGAAAATTGCTAAAAACTGGTTTTTCTGTGTTCTAACTTCTTTGCTTATTTTTAGCCTTGGTAGAGCGGGAACAAACGCTGATGCTGCTGCTGGTTAAGGGATGCCGCCACGGATGCTTCGAGGCAGCTGAAACACGGCGCCGAGTTCAATGACCATGGCCAGGACAAACGACTGTGGGGTAGCAAGCAAGATTTGAGGCCATCAAATGTTTGGTTTGTATTGCTGCTTGTCTGGCTGCCCTGCTGGGACTACGTTTTGATTGATTCAATGGCAAATGCCCTATTTTGCACTTCTCCTCTTCTTCTTCTTCTGCGTCAGTTTCAAATTAAATTTCTGCTAAACAAATTAAACTTAAGAAATTGGTAGCAAGAATGAAACTGTTGCCAATGGGAATATTTTTCAAAACTATTCTATTATTATAGTTTATATTTTTTTCGTGTTAGTCTTTAGCTGAGATCTGTCCTGTTTTGAACAATTCATAAAGTTTATGAGAACTCCTAAATCGATTATGTTTCTGGTGGTTCGAACAGAGAGAGCTTACTCTGAACTAAACTCATATTGTGTGATTCCTGATATATTTTAATTCGATATCGTCTATGGAGCCTGGCATAGCTCAGTGAGGAATGTCACAATTGTCATTTTGTTCCTTGAGTAGGTTCGAATCACGCCGCAATCATCATGACAAGAATAGAGCATGATTACAAAAACGTCAACGTTTATCATACAATTTAAAAACTGTCCAACCTAGGACAGATCTTATATAAAGAATAAAGATTAAAAAAAAAGATATTTATCAGATATTTCCCACAAAAACTCAGTTAAAGATCGACAGTGATTCGATATTCAAATGAAAATCGCCGGATTGGGAAATAAAGATCAGGTATGCCGTTAAGTTTCCATTAAAATTAAAATATTTTATTAAAAATATACATGGGGTTGCATATAATTTGTTTATTAAACGTTTTTGTTTTTTAATGAGAAAACATTAATAATATTTACAACGCTTTGTAAACGATCGGAGAGAAAAAATTATGTATAGCAGAAAAGAAAATGTTCTGGTTCATAAACTTCTGTAAACTAAATATTAAGCTCTAATAATATATCTATGAATATATGTGTGTGAAACTTATAAAATTATATTCTGTTCGCATTGGCAAGATTTCAATTGATTTATTACTTTTTGCTTAAGAAAAAATAATAATAATAAAAATTAAGAGCATGTTCGGTAAACTCTAAATAAAAAGTAATCAGTTTTTCTTCTTTTCTCAGAGCAACTTAAAAAATGTCTACGACTACGAGTTATTGTTTATGTGATGAGACGTTTCGAAAATCTTAACAAAATATAGAATGCAGTTCTTGTATATTAATGGGTGAAAATTTCGAATTTACTTGCGATTTTCGAGCTTCATTATAATGGAGTATATTCTCGTTTGTATGTAATAATGCATTACTTATATATTTAGTTTAACCTTGTATTTTTCCTTCAGGTTGAGTTTACAACTAGATAAACGTTTAATAATAGACTAAATCTCATTTATTGCTAACATCCTTTATGTCTTTTTGTTCTTTTTTCTTTTTGGCAACTAAGTTTTGGAATAGCTTTACAGAACTTTGTGTAGTATGTGTAATGGTTTTTTTTTTTTTTGTATATCTTTGAACTTTGGAGCGCTACATTTGGTTCTACATTGCTAGCTGTTGTGGCAATAGTTGAAATATTTTTCATTCTTTTTTTTTTTGGTATGGCACAAATTTGGCATTGAAGAAAATGTGTATGGCAAGAATAAAGTGTTAAAAAAAAGAAAATGGCAAGGAAATAATGTTTCATTATTTTGTTTAGCATTTTGCTTTGAGCCGCTACATCAATGTGTGTGTGTATATAGTGAGCTTTTTGCTATTTAAACTAACCAGGACCCGTTGAGACCACCCAGCAGCTACTATATCGATTGATATTTCTAAAAATATATAATAATGCTAGGCCTGATAGCTATTTAGCAGCTTCAGCCTGCTGCATTTGTACGAGTAGCAAGAGTATGCGATTCATCAGATTGTCCGCCTCCGAATCCTCCATGCTATTCAGCTTTGCCGATATGAAGCCACAGAATTTGGAGTTGAGCACCTCACGCACCGTTTGCGGTGGTGGCAAGTCAAGTCCACCGCCACCGCCAGCGGCTCCATTCTGTTGCTGACGCAAATGGCGATGCTGCTGCAGCATTTGATCCTCATAGTCATCGGCATCATCGCCGACCTCCGGTTGCTCATCATCGTCGCCCGCCTTGCGGCGACGTTTGCGTCCGGATGCATCGCCACCGGCAACTCCACCGCCATTCATGCTGCCATTGCATAAGCTGCGCGGCGAATTTGAGTCCAAAATGAGCGGATAGGGAAAATCGGCATCGATGGCCTCCAGCTCCTCGACCTCATCGGAGGCATTGCCACCGACGGCGCCATCTTCGTCGCCACTGCGCAACGAATTGTCATCCATGTCATCGAAACTGGTCTGATGGGCGGCGCTGCTGTCGTTGCGGGTGGACGAGACGCGACTATCATTGTGGGCCTGATGCGCTTGATGTGCAGGCATTGGCTGTGGTAGAGGGCCAGTGCTGCTGCCGCTACTGCTTCCAGCACCACCGTCCCCACCAACACCACCGCCAACACCACCTCCAGTGGACAGATCCAGCTCCCGCTTCACATGGTAATAGAAATCGTCGTGGCCAATATTGAGTGGCGAGCCTTTCGAGAGATTGAGCGCAGCAGCTGATGTATCGTAGTAGGAAGAAGCCGCCAGTTTAAGAGCGGATTTGTTGGCGCCCGCGCCAAGATTATTATTGTTGTTGTTGTGGTGTAAGTGTTGAGCAAAAGCGCTGAGAGTAAGGCCCGTGGTCAACGAGTCACTGGCATGTGAGCCGCCTCTGTAAAGACAGAGAAAGAGGGAGAATAAGAATTTAGTAATATACAAAGAAAAAGTATACAAATTATAAACATTCGTACAGAAATATAAACTTAAAAAAATATTTTAAGAAATCAAATTATTATAGGATTCTCAAACCTTTAAAAGATCCGTCATTAACGATACTCTTTAACTTTATTGATTAAACAACTATACTATTACTTATTTTCATTTAGAACTAAGGCGAAGATATGAGAGTTCTTGGATCTATTTATCAACGTATCGTTTATAAATTGGAAAATGCAAAAAATTCGACAACGGATATGATATTTTCACAAATAGGTCTCACTATATTTTATAGTGAGAAGCCTGGGTTGACTATTTAGGATTTAAAGAGATCGCTAAAGATCAAGATTGGATCGTTGCGTTGCGCCAATCAGAGCTGCCAACAATTGGATAAGTTCTGTACACACGGCTAGACGTTTTAGTTCCATCTAGATAAAATGAAAATAAATGCTATTCAGAAACAATGTTGAGTCTAAGAAACATGATAAATAAAATTCAATTAGAGCTTGTTTTTTTTTAAATAACCGTAGTATGAAAAATTGTGGAATAAAATAAATGGAATGATTTTAAAAATCTTGCTTCTTTTTGGAAAAAATTTTAACCCATTTTCCAAAGAAATGTTCAAACTGTCGAATAGAACGATCGTAACTATTCCCCCTATTCGCGCTAAGATCTATCTTGTTTATCAATCGGAACTCACAGTGTTTCCATTTACATCCTAGTTGCTCATAATTGTCGCTTTAAAACAGTTGACATCGATCGCTTTTTCTTTATAAAGTTACAAAGTTATGCCTGGTACCTATCTTTCGATTTTTACATATATGTTTCATAATGTATATCTCTAAACTATAAAACTAATCGCTTGTGTCACCACTAACTCGACCAAGCCGCAGCTGTTGATAAAAATAAAATGTAAGACATTATGTTCGGCATTAAAGGCCTCGAACTGAGTACAATCAAAAAGAATTGTCCACAGGCCTGAACTTGGAAAGACTGAACAGTCCCGGTCTGAACGGTTGACAGACGGTTCGTCTAGCGGAAGCAAACACTGATAAGCCAAAGAATCTAGGAACCGTCCATCCGCAAACCACAGAAGTCGCAAGCAAATAAAGCGTATTGTCAGCTTAAACATTTTACCAGCAGGCTCGAAAACATGTGAAAATGCATTTGGCCGTGATTAAATTTTTAGAGAAAAAATGGAAAATGGACAGGCCTGGCATATCGTTTTACAGCTGTACGACGACGTGTCATTCCAATTGTCAACTACCTGCTCGACATGCCTGTTCTGGTCCTCTAATGGGCCAAGCCGAGGCTTGTGACAATACTGGAGCTCTGTTGCTGCATTCCCATTCGAATATTCGGGCTGTGTGCTAAAAATAGCCACGTTTTCAGGCACCCAAGGGCAGCTGCCGGTTTGCTGAGAGCGCTGGGAAATGCATTTGAAATTTGAGTAGGAAACGCGTCGCTCTTTTCAGCAGGAAGCCAACACGATAGGACAGAGGACACAGGGCCAGGACAGGCCAAGTCGTGCCATCGGTGGCATTAGTAATGGAAAATATGGTTTTTGGTAGTTTTGTGTCGAATTTTGTTTTGGGGTTCGAAAGCACGTTTTTCGTCTTACAACGAGCAGAGGACAATGTCTTCTTGGGGTTGAAACCGTTTGTGCTATTTTTGGAAAATATACACTTATCCATGTATACATTTTCTCGTACTATGTGTGTATATATGCAATTGTTTGTTTCGTTTGTATTTTTTATTTGAAACAGTTTTGAATATTTCCATGGGTGGGGAATAAAAATACAATAATAATACATTTGTAGTTGAGGGACAAAAAATAAAATATTTAAGCATATATACTTAGTATAGCGATCATGATTAACAAATATTAGTTAAATTAGTTAAATTTTATATTTTTTAAATTATTAGCATTCTTTCCTTCCCTATCAGCTTTCAGTTTAGGAGATCTACATAAGGTTGGTCAATAAAATGTTTTCTCCGGAACAACAATTTCTTTTTTTTAAGGCGACCATTATTTGTTTAATATAGATGATGTACAGTACAATTTATGATCTTTTGGCTAAGTATAATTTTTTTTGGTTTAAATTACAGATTACGCTAAAAAAAATAACTTTTGTAGTTTCTTCTTGAATTACTAGTCTAGTAAGAAAATATAGAACACCAAGTTCTTAACACACACGGAACAGGACAGCCAGCGGATATGTAGCGATCGAAGCATAGAGTGAACTGTTTCTCAGGCTAAGTAGAACCTGCTGCTCAATTTTTGAGACTCTAGCTCGCATACTTCCTGAGTTCCTTGAGTTCATACAGACAGAAGCAGATACTTTTCTTATCTCATTTTGCTGTTGAAATATATTTTTCGTACCTTGTTGGAATCTGCCATGGCTTATTTGAATACTGTTTTTTTTTTTCAGGCTAAAGAGAATCTGCATCTTAATTTTGTCAACTTTGGTTCCCATACTACATGAGATCCCTAAGTGTATAAAGACAGATACAGATATCTCAGTTGAGTGATGAAAAATTGATGCTAATACTTTGGAAAGCTTTGCCACGCCTCTTGATATTGATCACAATACCCCCTTTTTTTACTTTTCAAGTATATGGTATAGGGTGGCAATAAAAACTATCCCTTAACATTATGAAGCAATTATAATCTCTGACCTCAACTTATTTGCCTTTTTTAACAAGAACAACAAATGTTTTTGTGAGGCAATAAATTTTGCAATAAATACCACATTGAAGTCTAAAAAATCCAATAGAATTGTAGGCATAAATCATAAATGAAATAAATAACTAAATAAAGAACAAATTAAATTAATCGTCTGAGTAAATAATAAACACTTTGAAAATGAAGCAATGTGAAATGAATAAACCTATTACGCAAATTGGGTATACGCCCATTATTCGATGCCCAGGCGATTGAGTGGAGTGACGCACATGCGAAAGCATTTTAAAATGCGAGTTCAGAACCTCAGAAAACGTCGCAAACACAATTCAAAGTGGCAATGTGGCAGACTAGCGCATTTCTGGGCTTGGGCCCGGCTGTGATTTGTTGGGGCCGCCGTACCCGAAGCGCGCGTTCAAAACAACAACAACAATAATAACACAACAACAATTTCATCAATTTTCAGCTCATTTGCTTATTAAATCATAAGCGTGACACATATGGTGTATGTGTGTGTGAGTGTGTGTGGCAGATACACCAGCAACCCCGTTAGTGCTACTCTCGGTCGCAATATTTTTAGCCCTGGTCCAGTCCAGTGCTTTTGTGTTTTGCTCAACTTGCTGTTGATTACAATTGCGCTCTCACACACACACACACACACACACACACACACACACACCTACAGAATTATATACTTACAATATGTACATACATATGTATATACACATGAGTCCATCATATTTGACATGCCACAATTTTTAATCTACAGTTCTAAACTTGGTCGACTCGTTAGTCTCATACTCGTATGCTGATTGTCATACATATTTGCGCTCAATGCATTAATTTATCATTTCTACTCTCGCCGCTCTCTCTCAGCAGCCGCAGCAAGCAGCGAGCAGCAATCACCACCACCACCACCACCAGCATCAGCATCAGTACCACCACATTAGTGATTACACACACACACACATGCCCACACGCTTAAATGTTTCGCTGGTTTTTGCAGCTTCCCTCGTCGCGTTTTCATTTCATTCCACATCACTTTTCTTTTATACCCTGTACCCGAAGGGTGCCAGGCAATACTAGAAAGTCTAAGCAAGGAGGCGTCGATGAAGATGTCTCCGTTTGTCCGTTTGTCTGTCTGTATGAACGCGGATAACTTTTGAACCTTAAAAGCCAGGAACAGCAAACTTGATATGTAAATAGGACTTATCCATATGCGTAGCAAGTGTATGGCAAACCATTTATAGCCCCATTAATTGATATAACTGTCATCATGTAGAAAAACTTGTGTGTTTAATAAAACATTTTTATTACAATATCTGCCTCACTTTAATCTAAAGTTCTTGTCATAGAAAGGATAGATACAAAAAAAAAACACTACCTCCTTAGTAACAAAAGTTTTTTGTTCATTTCAATATCGGCAGCATATTTTATATTTATTAGATATTTATAACAGGGGTGGGTATAGGATATACAAATGTCGTGAAGGCACGACTAAAACGTTTTAACGTTCAAGTGGCGGCAGCATCAACATTGCTTGTGTAATTTTCGCTGGACTGGGCCGACGAGATCTGTTTTTATGGCTCAAGCTGCTGGCGAGGCTGTGACTCTCTGGTCGTAGCCCATAGCCAGGCCGTTGTCTGTTATCAGCTCAAAATAATAAAAATTTAAATATGTGTGTGCCTGTGTATGTACATTGAAGCGGACGCGAACGGGGCCGTCGAGAGTTGTTGTTACTGCTGCTGCCGCTGTTGTTGCTGCTGTTCACGATGTGGGTACAGTCAATTGAAAGGAAATGGCCTTATTTCATATAAATATGTACATAAAGTACTACACACATACATATGTACATATGCATACATACATACGTACAACGCTCCTACATATAAGCCACAACAACATCATCATCAACAACAACAAGAGTCATGGACAGCATCACGACGCTTTCATTTGTCCGCTGGACTATTGCGCGTTCTTTTGTTGGAATTGGAATTGGTTTTTTCCGTCTGATATAGACATATGTACGAGTATGTCCATATGTGTATGTATGTATGTATGTGCAAGCAAGTATTTCTGTATTTGGCAGATGTTTTCACTCTTCTGAGCTGAGATTTTGCTGGTCTTAATGTTTGGCATATGCAAATTGACGGGATTGAACAATATCTACTATAGGCCAGCTCCTGTGCACCCGTATGCATGACTGATCAAGGGTTACGGGGGAGCTCTTTAATTATAATTACACACACGATAGTTTACGTTTTCGCCGTGCGGGTTATACCTTTCATAAAATGTGTTTCAGTTTTATTCAATAGGTGAATATCGTGCTTATACACTACTTATTATCATCCTTGGAAGCTCTTAACAACTTTCTCACCCTCTTTTAGACTTGAATAGTGTTCCCGAAAACATAACTTCAGCTTATCACTTTTTTCAATCAGACCATATATGTGTTATGGACACAAATAGGTATAAATATCGAAATTATGCTCGTTAATATTAATATTGTTCTGCATTTACCTCGCCAGCTACCAGACTATTCCAAATTATGATTCGAGGTACCAGGAAGCTGCCACCACCTAGTGGGTTTGGCCTGATAGACGAGTACAGTACTACTACTAATACTATTTTACCCCTTTACGGGTCAAATTTACTAACATTTTTCTAGAAAGTCAATCTGATAAAATTAAACAATTTTGAAGACAAAAAGTCAGACATTTCTACACATATTTATGGTGTTTTTAGTTATCAATGCAAAATCAAAAGTAAATAAAGTAAAATTAATGATGGAAAAAAAATTTACATAAAAAAATAAACACTTATGTAAAGATTTGCCGTAAATGGTCAAATTATATTAAAATTATGAGAATAGATTATTAAAAATTATTGTATGAATCCCTATCGAGTTAAAAAGTTATAAACTATCAAGAACAAAAATTTATATCGATTTTAAATATAACTCACAACCGTCATTGGTCACCAGTTTTATCCGAAGCCACATCAACTCAATTAAGATGCCGATAAAAGCATAATGAATTTAGCCTTAAAGGACTGACACTTATTCTCCACAATCGACTGCCTTATTTCCATTATTTAAGACAGATACGAACAAGACCATTCCTATAACAAGCCATACATACATAATATGTACATGTACATACCCTTTTGTCATTCCCGGCATTGAGTTTTGAAAGAAAAAACAAGAGAGAACGCTACAGTCGAGCAAGCCCGACAGTGTAATACCCTGTACCCAGGTAAACTTCCGTCACTGAATTATATGCGCCCAAAGCAGCAGCAAAAAGAGGAAGAAGAAGAGCGAAATTTTAAACAACAGTAGATAATTATTTATAAATGATGTGTGCAAAGTTTGGTTTAGGTAGCTTTTGAAATGTGGACGCTATTGACGAAATTCTGCAGCGGGGGAAGGGGGGGAAAATTAAAAAAAAAAAAAAATAAACTCGTCCTTACCTAGGAGAATCTGGATGCCAACTTTGGGTATTCTAGCTTTTATAGTTTCTGAGATCCTTGCGTTCATCCAGACGGACAGACGGACGGACATGTCTAGATCGATTTCTCTCGTCATGCTGATCAAGAATATATATACTTTATGGGGTCGGAGATGCTTCCTTCTGTATGTTACATACTTTGCACAAACCTAATATACCCTTTTTACCCTACGGGTACAGGGTATAAAAACGCGCAACTCAAGGCTTATCAATGTAAATATAAAGTAGACATCACAATAAAATAATGGAAAAATCCCAGGAGTGGTTTTTGGTTTAAATGGAGATCAATTTTTCCTAATATATATAAAGTTTGCATTTTAAATGAAAGGTTGTTGTTGCTGTATTTTTAAACCTTAGTATTAGTGGATGGTATCAAAGGTTTTGGTAGGATCAGCTTGATGGATTAGAAGGTCCCTTGATACCAATTTTACTGTTAATTTGTCAAACAATTATTCAGAGAGTTTTATACCTGTTTTTCCCCCAGTTTCAAAGCAATTGAAATGGTTTTTAAAACGTAGATACTTTTTAAAACAGATCATTATAGATATTGTCTTAAACAATAAATCTATTCAAAAATAATATTTTAATATTAAAAAAGACTTTTTAAATAACTTATTTCAAGGAATTGTGTTCAAATTTAGATTACTTTTGTACTTGTGTACTTTTAAATAAATACCAAAATATGAAATATAAGATAAATGAGAGTTCTTATTTATAACTTTATCGAAATCCAAATTCAAATGTTATTTTACATCCTTATAAAGGAGAAATCATATCATTATCAGTGAAGTATTAATCAACACAGTGATTTGCAAGCAGATCCCGACATTTTGGTGTTTATCTTGATAAATAATTGTACCGAAAATATTAAATACGACAGTTTTTCTGGATTAGTCAATCCAATAGTTAGTTTTTTCCTATGAGTAACCAAAGGATGAGTGTTCCATGCTAAAGGTCCTGCTTTGACATACATAAATTACCTCTAATGAGTCATTAATAGCTCAAGTAATAACACGGGAAATTAGAAAGAGGCGGTCATTGATTAAATTTCTTTCTCTGGGCATATGCTTGTGTGTATGAATTCTTATCTATTTGTTTGCCACTTAGTTTCTGAGTGATTTGAGCTCTGTGCAGCATAGGCTTGACTCATACCCATAATTATTCCGTCCGCAAACTTTGCATTATCAGCACTGACCCTAACCTACCCCTAACCCAGGGTACGCAAAATTCCAAGAACACATTAGTCGACACTCTTGAGCTCCATAAATGCCAAGGCGCCTCTTTTCGAAGAAACATTAAAATTAGCAACAAATAGTTGGGGTAACAATGTCAGAAGACACTGTGCTGAGACTGAGTGGATATTATGTAAAATCATCTGTTGCATAGACACGAGTCTGTTTCTTACTGTCTGAATCCAAAGACATCTGAAAATATAAAGGCTTTACCTGCGTACTTTGCTAGGTTTGTATACCCTGTTTAAAGCGTGAAATGAACTGCAAAAAGGGGTGACTGTATGAACATCGACAACTTTAGAATTATGTCAGCTATTGACACCAATCTTGGCGTGTAGTCTTGTCTTATCCAATTATAGATCAAGTTTATCACGAGCTTAGTATTTATTTTATATATTTTCTATCATTTTTTGTTTATGGCGATATTGCGATTTAAATGATTTTCTATTTATAATGCCTCATATAAATTTTTTTTAAATCATTCTTACTACCATCTATCTTAATTACGATGAAGTAACCAATTTAAGTATTTTTGAGTACGGAGGAATACCCTCTAGAAAAAATAAATAATAATATAATAAATTTTATTTTGAAAGAGTTTTGTATTGACCCGTTTTTACACAGTATATAAGAGTCGAGGGCGCATTAAAATGTATTTCATTTTCAAACAGATCTTTGAACAAAGCTAACGTTGACAGCGCTAATGATGATTCATCAGCAACAGCTACAACAACAAGCACCACCACCACCAACAACAACAAAAACATCAACAGCATGGGCTAAGGAAGCACTCTCTGTATTTTGCTTTTTGTACTGACACGCGCAATTTTTGTACAAACAAAATTGAAACTTTCAATTGCATATTAAAATTGTCTTTTGTAATTCATTTGTGCCCCTTTGTTGTTATCATTCTTGTTGCTGTTGCTGTTGTTGTTGCTACTACTGTCGACGACTGACTGGCTTGGTAAACAAAGTGCATGAATCAAAGCCGAGCCCAAAGGCTGGCGATAAAGCAGCGTAACATACACAATGGCAAGGTTAAAATTATGGATTACGACAAAACCAAAAACCAAAATACGCACAAACAAACTTATATACATGCATATATATGTATATTGGATGTGTGTATGTATGTACTTAATTCACATGTGCAAAAAAAAAAAAACAAACTACAAAAGTGCAGAACAAAAACTAAAGCCAAAACAACAAGAGCCGTTATTCATAATCAAGCCGCACTTTGCACTTCAATGGCGCTTTGTTTTACATTTATCATCGTAATACGTTTTAGTCAAATTACGTAGATAGATAATAAATGAGTACCTACACACATACTATACACTACTATATATATATATAGTATGTACATAGTGTTATAATTTCGATGATTGAATTGTTCAATCAGGTGGCAGACGAGTGTAACTCGAATTAGGGCGATAAAGCTGTGGCATTTTTAATAAGGGTAATGAGCCATTTACATGTGTACATATGTATGTATGCACATACATATGTATGCATGCACTACTTGCGTATATTTACAATTGTATGTATGTAATCTAAATAAGTGTGTTTAGGAAGCGGGTGACTGGTAGTTGAAAATAATTTATGAAACGGTCAAGATGATTCAGAAGATTCGACTTAGCTCTAAATTGAAAACGAAAGTGCAATTAGGCTGGACCTTATTTTGAAGTAAGAAAATTATTAGGACTATAAAATAATTATAATCGTGTTTGTTATCGTACGAAGTTCTTTTTAAATAGACTACTTTGGAAAATAAAGCTCCTCTCACACAGGCAAATTAATAATATTTTACAGATTAAACAACGAGTTATAGATTTATAAAAACATGATTGGGTATGTATTAAGTATTTAATGTATGAAAGTAAGCTTTTTGGGTTCAAACAATTTTCCATTAAGTACTCGTATAGAAATCCTTCTAAATACAAGTAACTATCGTTGGTTTATGTTTATTTTTGAAGATTTGTAAATAATTTTAATAGGATTGGTTGTTATACCTTACCTCACATATATTTTAAAATATTTAAAATAATTGAAAACATCAACACTAATTAATGTCACTAAAACTACTAGATTTATAAATGTTACATTTTAAAAGTCAAGTCTGCGAATTATGTTTTTTAAGGGTGCTGTAATACACTATTTATATAAGAGTTTCTTATTTAATTAATCGAAGCAAGAATATAACAATGATTGATCTATAGATATAGTATATTCTCAGCTCTTTGGTTGACTAAAACTGAATTGAATTTATATTAAAACAAAAAATTTAATATCAACATGAAGCATAATTTATTTTCAATAAATGGAAATTTGAAATGAAAGTTTTGGGACCACTCTAATTTGTGATGAACTTGCGAACAGCTCAAAATTGTTGCGTATTAAAAATACTATATTTATGGCAAGCATCCTTAGTTATTAAAAATTATTATGAAATACGTTTTCTTTCTACTCACTTTCTTTCCCTGATGACGTCGCGTAGAAAATCCATTGCTTCGTACAGACTCCATTTGGGCTTAAAGCCATTGCCCATGATCTTGACGTGGGCCAATTCACGACGATAGGATTCGCGTAAGGATTTGAAGGCACGCGCCACTCGACGTCCGGGCGCATTAAACTCGCGTCCAATGTGTTCCCAGGCACGATTCTTCTCCTCCTCGGCGCCCTTAAAGTTTGGCAGACGCGAGTCCCACAATATGGGATTGTCGTGGACCATTTGTATGAGCTTTAGCTTGTCGGAGGCATTGCGACGCACCACTGTATGGCCAAGTGGTAGCGTAAAGATACAGGGAGAGAAAAATATAGTAATTACGTTGGGCATAAGTTGCGAGGGGTCATTGATTAGGGGGCAAGTGACATACACTCAGAGAAAAACACGATTTCAAAAACAATTAGACACATCCAATAAGTATTTTCATTATTTGTAAACAAATTATTAAGTGTTTTCGATTTCGAACGGATTTGCTTTGATTTCTTTTTCTCTGAGTGTAGCAATTTTCTAATAGTCTACGCACATTTTTTGATCTTCTGAGTGGGCACTGCAGCCAGCTCGACCTTAGGCTTCATATCCAGAGCAATAGCAGCCGCAGCGGCGCTTAAATCTTGCAGCGAGGAGGTGGTCGGAGAGCCGGAGGCGGCGTTGCTGGCACTGCTAACGGGTGCCATCAATATGCGCTGCAGTATGTAGGGATTAATGTTTGCAGAGTTTGTAGGGCAGCGATAAACAATATGATTATTAGAAAGTGCTTCTTCTTCTTCCTATATGACACTTTTGCACACTTTGTCACCAATAATAATTCCACTTTTTCACACACATACACACACAAACACACATTCAATCATATGTATAGAGACGGTGATTGCCAGCGAGATCAACTGGGGCGGCGGCTACTACCCTCTCACGACCAAGTTTAAACAGCAACTAAAAACCAAAACCAAAAAAATAACAACCACCGCAGCGACGACAGCGTCGGCAGCAAGCCCGCATTTCATGCGGCGAGCAGCAACCAAAGCCAAAACAGAAACGCGACTCACACACACACAGGCACGTACACACAGGCAGACACATCATGCATAGCAGAGGCGGTCGCGCACACCAACATACATACACTTATATGTGTAGACGAGCCAGCCAAGTCGAAGGCGCAGGCGAAATGAGCCAGCAACAAAATCACGCTCATTCTCTCTCAGCGGCAAGAGCTCTCTCTCTGGCCAGAGCCATAGCCCGCAGTTCACCGCCTTGCCTGGGCTAATTCAGAACGTGTGCAGCGTTTCCCGTTATCTGCCGAGCTCTGCTGTCGGCGTCAGCGTCATAAGCCGCGTTTGTAGCTACGCCGACGCTGACGTTGGCGTTGGCGTCAACGATGCCTCGTCGGTTGGTCGGTCCCGATTATTCGTCGGCCAGGCAGGCACGTTGTTGGATTCTTGCCGTTGTCGGGTCAAACGCGGCTCATTGTCTCATCACTGCGCCCGCTCCCACTCCCACTCCCTCCTTATCGTGTCGATCACTCTCTCTTTCTCACCAGACAGTTTGGCCCTCTCTGTTGGCGTTCAGACGGAAAAACGCCGTTTAATTGCAATCACGAAATTGTCACCAACTTTTACTCAACTACTAAATGCTCTATAAATGGTGTGGTTTAATCCAAACAAAATGTAAGAACAATAGTTAAGAGGTAAACACGCTTTTATAAAAGCTCAGTGATTTATAATAATGCCTATAGATTATATAAATGCATACATACATATATCAGGCACTTAACGACTTCTACCCACGACATAGTTACAGTTTTCGTTTAACGGTAAATAAATGATAATCCTAGGTTTAAATTAGTTGAAATTAATTTAGTCTTCAAAATTTACCCAGTTATCATAAAATGTTTAAATTTAGGAGTCGAAAGTGTTATTTTTTTGCTTACCAAATTTCAATCTTAACTAAACGTGAAGAATTTTATTGAAACATTGCAAAGCCTAATAAGCTCCGTTAATGATAGAGTATAGCAAACTGAAAGTAAAAGCGAGCAAAAGAACGAGCACAAAAGGCAGATCGCTCGACCGATCGACACAGCGACAGACCGACGGACAAGCGGCTCACTACATAAGCGCACGAGCAGAAGCGCATAAAGCACAAAAATGTGTGTAACTGAAAAATCCGTCGACGCGTTCTCGCGACCGATTTTCGTTGTAGCTTGGCGAATTGAGCTTCGGTTGTTGCTATTAGGCGATGGGATAGTTCCGTTAGTGTGATACCCTGAAATATTCAGAAAATACGAATTTGAATTATTGGTGCCATGACAATCAGATCTATATGTAGTATGAGATACTCTTATAAAGCAAAGTATTTTATATTTTATTAATGGTGACTACAAACAAATTTTTTAAAGCTCAGATGGAGATACGAAAGAGAAAAAAACCAATTATGATGTTAAGGTTTATTTTAGGTTTAATTGAGGTATCAATTATTTTTAATTCGAAAACTGATAATCGATTTTTCTAGTAGATATTGTATATTATGTAAACATACATCTAGCATACATCATTGTCCTGTTTTTACAGACCAAAGTTAACGTAGCTTATTTTATAATAAGATAAGCAAACAGTTTACACTGAAGTTTGTTAAATTAAACGTTGATCTAAAATATTTGAATTTAATTATTCGTTGTGTTCGTTTTACAAAATGATGTAAACTATAACTAACAATTTCAAAGAATATTAGGGGCTCTACTAAAGTTCGAAATAATAAATATTTAATTTATTTATATGTATACATATATCTTATTTTAAATCTGAAATTTATCTCAATTTTTTTAACAACTTGAGAATAAGAGCATGTTCAACAAAAAGACGATTTATATTATAATAACCACAACAACAAAAAATAATAATAAAACTGTCGATTTAATGTGGTCAACTTAAGAAAAAATTCTTTGTTAGCAAAATATTTGACTGAAAATAATTTGCACACAAAGTGCTCTTATTTTTCAAGTAGGCTTAAAAGTAGGCTTAACAATCCATAACCTACGTGAAATTTGACAAATTTGTGCGTACATTTTTTGCCTGTCTCACAATAGATTTGGATTTAAACAACACTACAAAGTAAAGATGGGTATAAACATTCGACGCAAGGAATAAAAAGGGTATTCGGCCACACATTGTGGCGCGTTGCATTCACCATTACAAGGACTGCACTGCATGGTAATTTTTCACCAAAGTTGTGCGCTTTGTAGCGCATTCAGCGTATTGTTAATGGCCGCCTGCCTATCGGTTACATTTCATTAAGAGCAACTTTGTTGTGGCTACTGCGGCTGTTCGAGCAGAGTCGTCGCTGCCGCCGTCGTTGCCGTCTCCGGGCCGACATGGCTCGACGGTCCGAGCGCATTCGACATACCCAACAATTGTTGCACTTATTTCATTTTTGTTGCCGCCGTCTTTGCCGTTCTTGAAGAGGGGCGCTCGCATTCTGGCAGTGTATGTACATATATGTCTGTTGATGTGTGGCTGTATGTATATATATATATATATGTGTGAGTGTGTGTGTGAGTTAGGGGGGAAAACGGAGCGCATTTGAGCCCGCTTAAGTAAGAACTGCGCGACGCATAAGTAGCTCGGCCGTTTCAATTGCGTTTTACTTGAATTTATTGTTATGCCCATTTCGCTCATGTTAGCATGTATTTGTGAGTGTTTTTTGTGTATGTGTAAGTGCTTTACATTTTAACATTTTCTTTTCGCTGCTCATATTCTTGTTGCCTTGTTCGCCTGCCTGGCTCTGACAGCAGTGTCGAAGTTCACTTCATTATCTTAGCTGGCTATGTTGGAACACACATGCGCACACACAGTCCTACTTTTCTAAAACAAACCAATCTGATAATCAAATTATTCCTGCAGGATAAGTGTATCCTTTTAGACAAACCTTAAAATATTATTACATATTTCATCGAACTATTCTTTTAATTACTCAGCATTCTAGAAGAAGAAACTTTTTATTAAAACCATATTTTTTACTCGGGTTTTCATACGTGTACATAGCAATAAATTTTGATCCATTAAATATCAAAATTTAAATTAGTACAAGTATTGTCATCTTTTTTTATCCATATAAGAATTTTTAAAGAACTCGACAATACTCGACTTAGATTCCCTCTTAAATGTTGTTTTATTTAATTTTTCGGTTTGGTAAAATCCTAGATTTTACACTTTTTTGAAGATGCAAATATTTTCAAATTTTATTAATTTTTGTACACACTTTCAAGTTATTATTTGTTATTGAATGAAATGTAAGCATTTGTAATGTGAAAACATTTTTCGTACGTAATTTGTTTATATTGTACCTTGAATTGATTCAAAGTAAAACTGTAGCCGATTTTCTGTATTAAAGCTATATAAACTTTAATGGATCGAATATTAAATATGAACATTTTAAAAAGTACTTCTGAGCCCGGAAGTTCTAGTAGGCATATAAAAGATGTTTAAAGAAACTCATATAATTACTGTTTATTATATAATTACTCTACATATGAAACATATCAAGAAATAATTATAATAATAATGATGATTATTAATTATTTATTTCTACAAGTATATTGTATTCTCAACAATTTAAGAAATACATATTTTTTAATGTATATTATTATTAAATTTCCCTAAATTAGATATTTGAAATCTGGTTATGAACACGGTAGCTATTTTGTGAAAATTGGCTGTGAAACGGGGAATAGCTGGTTGAAGCGTTTTTATACTCGTATATTATTGAGACTTCAGTGTTCAACAAATGCATTGCAATTTGTCGCATCTCCACATTCCTCGTTAAGGGGTCTGACTGTAGCATATGAGTGGCATCGGCATCGGCACCCGCGCAGGCGCAGGCGCATTCGTTGTCTCAGTTGCCGCGGCTTGTATGCAAGTTATTTACATCGCAACATTTGGATCACACATGTTGGCAGTGTGCGAGTGTGATAGAGATAGAATGCACTCTACATTTATGTATGTAGGTATTAATGCATGAATATAAGTAGTAATGTATGCATGGAAGTCGGATTGTCTGTCGCCTGCCTTAATGCCCAACATTTGTATCTTGCAACGTTTTGCCTGTTTATTGCGCCCTACGCTTTGTTCTGCCCATTCGCAGCCGATAAGCGACGACAATCGTCCCCAGGCATTTAAGCCGCTGCTGACGAAATCTAGTAAATACATAATCGACGGACGACAACAACAGTAGCAACAACAATAATCGCAGCCAACGGCAACAGAACTCGGGCAAATAGCGAAAAGAATGCTTTGTCTGTATGTAATTTATGCCTAATGAACTATTTCCGGCCAAGTGTCAATTAATGTATTCTGGACAGTGGCAAATGCGCTGAAGTATGCATACATGTATTACATACATACATATGCGAGTATATAAATACATATACATATACTATATGTACATACAAGCAACAACAACGTGCCCGCACAAATGTTGTCATGATAATTTCTGCTGCCACTGTAGCAAAAATTTTAGACCCCACCCTCGCACCCTGCCTCCACACTCACACACACACACACATACAACCAATACTAAGAACAACAACAACAACAACCGCAACAATTGAGCGCATTGCTGAGCAGCCATTTCCGTTAACCGTTGCACGCAGCCGCAAAGGTCTTTCCAAGTGGCCCGTTTGACTTCGGCCGAGTCGCCTCTCAGCCTCCCCCTTACTTGACTGAGCAAGAGATAGTTAGAGAGAGGGAAAGAGAGAGTGTGCATGGGGGACTAACAACGTCTGCCGTCTGTGCTCTCTGCTGCCTGGCATTGGTTTATCGCTCTTCTTGCGACGCGTCGAGTCTCTGACGGCGACTTCAGCTCTCGGTTGCGTTTCTGTTTTTTCAAGCCAAATTGAATTTGTTTCAAGCGG